AAAGTCTGACTCACAGACGAACACAATACAGAAGCCTGATGATGGCAGATGAGATTCTATACAGAAATACCAACATATGTACTAGTAACAATAATGATAGGGTAACAAAATAATTTTAACTAAATGTTAAAATTATTATTCAAAATAAATATTAGCTTATTTATAGTTCTATGAATTATATCAACATGTTTCTAATTATCAGCCCTCTTCGTATTTAATTCTTTCATAACAATAATCTTTCTAAGGGTGTCCACCTCTTATCTCTAATCACTCATAAAATCTGTTCCATGTTAAATAATATTTTGTGTCTTCTTTCTCCTTTATTTTGAACGTCAATCTATTCATCTCTGCATGGTCCAATATTTTCCGAATTACATCCTCATCGGGTGGGATGTTCTCATTTTTCCAATATTGTGTAAATACAATCTTTGCAGACGTCACTACATGCAAAATTAGATATACAGTCCCCTTTGATCATATCCTTCTGGCATTCTACCCAACAAAAATATTCCCAGTTTCAAGTCTATATGTGGCTTAATCCTCTTTTCCAACCCTGTATGTATTTTCAACCTCCAATATTTTTCTAGCTTTCGTACAGGTCCACCACATGTGATAATAAGTACCCGGGGTTTGATCACACTTCCAACATTGGGCTGAGATGTTGCTAAACATTTTGGGCAATCTTGCCGGCGGCTGGGCTGCTGAGGCCCTTTTCTAGCCGTGCCCTGGGACACGCAGAAGCCACGGGGGAACCAGGTACTTACCGCAGGGTGCGGAGCCTGTGCCCCCTGCTTAAAGGCCCAGTCTCCCTCGGAATCCACAGTTCCCCTGTAAAAAAAAAAAACAGAGAGAGACAACAAGCCGACATCAGCTATAAGACCATCATTGCTAGCCTGTGGTCAGCGGAGCCCGAGGTCCCATCCAGATTGCAGGATTCAGCCCAGGACTGAAAAAAGGAGGGAAGGATTTGTAGTTGAGGATTGAAGTCGGAGGTCCTCGGTTCTTCTCTTGCAGGCGTTTCATGACTCAGCTAGCTAAACTCATCTAGAAATGAGTGGGGTTTGTAGAGGGAGGAGGAGGAGGAGGAGGAGGAGGAGGAGGAGGAAAGAAAAAGAAGAAGAGGAGGAGGAGGAGGAGGAGGAGGAGACAGACAGACTGTGGAGTCCTTAGTGCTTTCTGAGTTTGGTTGTTTCCTTGCAGATGTTTCATGACCCAACTAGGGAACATCATCAGTGATAGAAGTTTGGGGAGGAGGAGGAGGGAAGAAAAAGAAGAAGAAAAAGAAGAAGAGGAGGAGGAGGAGGAGGAAGAGCTGTGGGGGCCTTGTTGCTCTCTGAGTTTGGTTGTTCTCTTGTATATGTTTCATGACCCAAACTGGGCGACATCCGTGCTGGTGTTAGAAATAGAGACTAGCACTGATGAAGTTACCTAGTTTGGGTAATGAAATGTCCGCAAGAAAGCAACCAAGTTCAGAGAGCACCGGGGAGCCCTCCAGACAGTCTACCAATTGCTTATCCTTACTCTTTGTAATCTCTCCCTGTTCACGGGTAGCATAACGTGGACTTCCATGCAGGATCATTTGGAAGGTCTACCCCCAGTCAAGGTCAGTCCTGAGGATCATTAAAAGGAGCTGAGCTCATGAACGGAACAATACATTGTGGCATCGTTTTTTTCCCATCTTATTCATATCTATATACATATATACATTATTCATATTTACATTATATATTAATGTCAGCCTTCAAGATCTTCTACTACTGCTTTGCATCTTTCGGCTGCCATAAGTAACGGGGGGAGGAGGGGGGCTATGGTCTGGGAAGAGAGCTGGAGGTGTTACATTCTTGTGTTGTGTAAATGAGGAGTGGGGGGGGGGAGTATAAATTCCTGCTCTTAACTTTCTATTCCTCGCTTAGCTTTCTTTTCTCTGCACAGCTGCAAATCTTTATCAAAATATGCCAAGGTCAACAGAGGCCTCATCACCACCTGAAGATGCCCACATGATCATATTCACAACTTTTATTTGGAAGACTTGTTTGAACTATGAGGGCTGGGAACGTTTCCAACACTTTGTATATGTGATCTGAGCGCCTAATTTCTCAGATTCAGAATTCTGTTTGATGCTACCACTTCATTTTTCAGTAAAAGACATCTTTGCTCTAATCTAAAGAGTCTACGTTTTTCTTTCTTGAATTTTGAATGGAGCACCACCTGACAATTAACTATTATTCTTGTTATCTATCCAACTATATACATTTTCCCAGACGGTATAGAATTCTCCTTTTTTCCTTCTCTTGCAACTCCATAGTAAGCTTATTCATTTCCACACGATCCATCGTTTTTTTTAACTAGCGTATTATCCGTCAGATATCCTTCCGCTTTCCAATTTTGAGCATAAATTATTCTTGCTGCTGTCAGAATATGTAATATGAGATATTCAATTTCTTTTTTATATCCGCCACTAATTATCCCTAATAAAAACATTTCCGGTTTGAATTCTATTTTTTTTTCATTTGTTATTTCTTGCAACCCGATTTTTATTTTATTCCAGAATTGTTTGGCTTTTAGGGCACAGCCACCCCATGTGAAAGAAGGTACCTGTTGCTTGTTTACACTTCCAACATATTGGACTCAAATTTGGATATATCTTGGCCAATCTCAATGGTGCTAGATGCCAACGATGAAACCCTTTGTAAAGGAGTAAAACCCTACTAACTTGTCCTACTCTTCACTAGGCTAACCATGCCCAGTTCTTGCTACCGTTCTTCATGTTTTAGCCTCCAGTTTCCTAACCATCTTTGTGGCTCTTCTGTGCGCTCTTTCTAGACTCTCAAGATCTTTTCATCTCCTGTCCCTGGTAGAAGAACCCCACAGAGAGCTCCACTCACCATGTCACAGAGGCATAGAGGCTCAGCTTTCCTGGAGTGCTGATTTGGGAGTCGTTCCCTGAACTCATGACCGAGTTGGGGCTCCTCCCCCAAAAAGAGGCAGCAGTTGGCTGGTACGACTCCTGTTGCATGTTTAGGCACCGATTCAGGAGGTCCAACCTGAACTTCTTTCTCCACTTCTTGGCTCCCCACAAACTCAACTGTGATGTCAAACTTTAGAACTGTGATCTCACTGCCCAGAACATCTGGAGTTACCGATGCTGGGTTGACACAGGTACTTTCACTACTCAAGTTTTCTAGTTGCGATGAAGTCTTTCGGCTGGAGGAGTGAGACCGCGTGGTAGACCTAAGGGAGGAGCGAGACCGCGTGGTAGACCTAAGCAACGCTGGATGGACACGATCAAGGCCGATCTAGAGATCGCGAAGGCAGACCCGGCATACGTGGTAGACAGAGAGGTGTGGAAGCAGTACTTAAGGACATTAGCGGACCTCGCCCGAGCGCGAGACAAACGCTGAAGAAAAAGAAGAAGAAGAAGATGAAGTCTTTCGGCTCAAGTCATCCTCCAAACTCTTGGGACAGTGACCATCGTTTCGTCTCCTTTGGGAACCCACCGTTGGGACAACCTGAACCCTGAACTCCAAAGACTGAAGGTTCATTTACAACGCACACCTCCTCAACATCCTATATTGCAAGCCAACACTAACCAACGATCCGTATTCTAGGTCCATCAGTGATACCAATGCTTGCCAGGATGAGGTGGTTCTCAGAGCTTGGCTGAAGGCAACAAAGGGACCCTCAAAACATGGAGGTATGGAGCTCCGTGGAGTTGTCTCCCATTTCTAGACCCCCAATTATTTCCCCTCTTATTGTGTGGGCAGCCTCTCCAACCGCTTTTGGGTTGAACAAATAGAATTGGCTAATTCTAGGAGGAGCAAGAAGCGTGGAGGACCATCATGTCCCAAAAGGTGTATTTTTCAGGAGGCAATTGGACTTTCTTGTTTTTTTTTTCTTTTTCTTTTTTCTGTTTCACTTCTCATCCAAGAAGCTTCTTCAGCTCTGACTGGATGGGGAGGAAGGGAAGGATTTATATACTATCTTCTATAAAAAGTCCCTACATCTAAAAAAACATCCGAGTTACCCAGGAGCTTGCTCTTCCTGAGACCATCATCTGTGAACTGTCCTTAAATATCACATTTCAGTTCTTACTATGTTACAGAGCCCCTGATTATGACATCGAACATGTAAACAAGCTAAGTTCACTACTAACATGGGCAACTCCTGCCCACACACTTTTATCTTTCTTGGTGACTTCAATCTACCTCATACTAACTGGACCCTTAACAAATGTACAACTGAACCCACACATGCAACCATCTACAATGCCGTAACAAATCTAGGACTAGAACAACTAGCAACCAACAACACTAGACTTAACAACTGCCTCGATCTCATCTTCTGCAATAGTTTGAATTCAATTTACGGAATACAAATTAAAGAACCCTTTTCCAACAGTGACCACAACATGATTGACTTTTGTCTCAACATACGCCCACACAAAAATCATCACAATGACAAAATCCCCAATTATAACTTCAAAAAAGGCAACTATGATCTTATAGACAACGACCTCTCATCCCTTGATTGGCAATTTCTATTCACTAGATGCAATACTGTAGAAGACCATTACAACATATTTTTACTTGAAGCCAAAAGAGTCATCAAACTATACGTACCAATAACAACTCCCAAAACCAGAAAAAACAAATTACCCATAACAATAAGGAAGCTTCAGTCCAAAAAGAGATCACTTTGGCAGAAAAACAAATCTAGTCACGTTGCCAACTTCAAAATGTCTGGAATACTCTACCTGACTCTGTGGTTTCTTCCCCAAACCCCAAAAACTTTAACCTTAGACTGTCTACTACTGACCCCACCCCTTTCCTAAGAGGTCTGTAGGGGTTGTGCATAAGCGCACCAACGTGCCTACCGTCGCTGTCCTATTGTTTATTTTTATTTTTCTTATATGTATCCAGGTATTCATAACTATGTTTTTAGTTACACCTATTATCTTGCAAGCAATTGACAAAAATAAATAGATAAAAATAAAACCTTGCAGACACCTGGTCATTTGCATCCTTTTAGAGGGTCGTTGAGGCCACCCAGAAGTTTATCTGTGTCCTCAGAGTCACCTGAATGGTGCAAATACGCATGGAATCTTCTTGGCTGCAGGACACAAGGCAGAAAAAAATATATCCTTGTTAGGGATATACCCTAGCAAGGATCTGCAGGGCAGGCAGGCAGGCAGGCAGAATATGTGAGATATCGTTTTTTTAGTAGCTTACACTCAGTAAACAGAGGCACAGTGCTAATTAAATAGTTTTATTCCAGCAAGAGTTAAAGCATAGTCAAAACAGTCCATATATCATTCACTTAGTTCAGTCCGTCCAGGGATTATTCAGTTGCAAATTCCAGTGTCGCAAAAGAGAGGTCAGTACACTTACAAATATCAGTCCGGTGATATATCTCCTCGCAGTAGAGAGATATGAAGAACTCAAAAAAAACTCCTCTCTTCCTTCAGCAACTCTTCAGTAGGGGAAACAAACGCAGCTAACAAACCATCAATGTAGTAAATTGTCAGTAATTGCCAGGAAAACGTCAGCGAATTGTCAGCGTCTCTTGCTCCCTCTTATGGTGGTTTCACACCACACCCAAAATTACATGCATTGCAGTTAAAGTGACACACACTTAAACTAACAATTATAGCTTATATATATTATTTTACCCAAACTACGTTAGGTGACCTATGTTATACCTAACAATCCTGCAACCAAGAAGGCTCCACACTCACTTGCACCACTCAGTTGACCCTGAGTACACAGACGAACCCCCAGGAGGCCTCAGCGATCCTCTAAAAGGATGCAAATGACCAGCTGTCCTCAAAGAATATAAATCCTTCCCTTCCCCACCATCCAGTCAGAGCTGAAGAAGCTTCTTGGATGGGAAGCGAAACATCTTCGAAGGAAAAACCAGAAAGTCCACTTGCCTCTTGAAAAAGTACTTTGCGGAAAACTATGAACTGGACGTCTGAGAATCTCCGTAGACATGTAGGACCACCATGCTTTTCTTTTATTAGGACCGTGGGTGAGTAACTCCACCACCATCATCCCTGCCCCGTCGATCTCATCTCAGGGCGCCAAGCCTCACTTCATTGGGTCTCACTTTGGAGAGCAGTTATTTTGTCCACTGACCCATAAGGACCACATCCTACAACTTCTCACCTGTTTTTCTTCTCCCGTGAATCTCCACCTCTGCTCCTCGGTGCAGCCAGGCCTCCTCGGCGTCACTGGATCAAGTAACATCTCTGGTAGCTTCCCATTTTTTTTTAGTCTTTTGGCCACCAGGATCTCAGGGGGGGCTGGTAGATCCCCATCCCGCCACCGGTGGCTTCCGATTCTTGGTCTTGATCTCCAGTTCCAACCCATTGCTATCTTTATTGATCAGAAAAATGGATCAGAACATTATTCTAACCCTCCTTATTCTAACCCAGCTCCCAAACGCGACAAACTCTCTGTAGTAAAATAAATGTTCCCTTTATTAGGAGGGCCAACAGCCCAGCAAAAAGTTTTTCTCTCTCTCACACACACCGCAGGGAGATGATGAATAGTTGTCTGTCGTATCTGTTCATCTCCACCTCCTGCCTTTTATCCCCAGAGCTTGGGTGGAGCTTCGCTAACAGTGGTGGCTTTTTTGTCCCAAGGTCCGGCCCATAGATTTCCACTGCTCTCCTCTCCTCTCCTCTGCCTTCTGTGCATCCACGTGTCAGGCACTGGACCCGGCTGTTCCTCCTCTTCCTCATCAGCCACCTCCAGACCCGGCTCTTCCGTCCCAAGGTCCGGCCCATAGATTTCCCCTGCGCTCCTCTCCTCTGCCTTCTGCGCATCCACGTGTCAGGCACTGGACCCGGCTGTTCCTCCTCTTCCTCACCAAGCCACCTCCAGACCTGGGGGCAGTGGACTCTCTGGGGGCTGACGGACGGCCCCGGCTCCGCCTCTGTCTCTCTGCCAGCTGTCAGGGTTCCCGCGATTGCCCTAATTTCATCATGACCCTTGAGCCAAGCTTTCAAGAAAATCCAAAAGATTTATCAGGAGCAACACGCTGGCATTATCCTGAGCCTCGATGGCACTGGGGGGGTTAAAGAGGGCAGTGCTGCAGGCTACTTCTGCTGACTGTCGGCTGCCTGCAATTGAGCACTTCAAATCCCACCAGGCTCGAGGTTGACTCGGCCTTCCATCCTTCTGAGGTAGGTCAAATGAGGAGCCAGATTGTTGGGGGCAATACGCCGATTCTGTAAACCACTTAGAGAGGGCTGTAAAAGCACTATAAAGCAGTATATAAGTAAGTGCTATTGTTATTGCTATTAACCTAAATTAAGCCAATTCTGACATACGTCATTCCGTCACTCGCTCCCCCCTGAGTGTGTGTCATCAATCACAGTCTCCAATGAAGGATTTTTGAGGGCAGACTTGCAAGCCCCCCTGTGGTCAAGTCGTGAATTTCAAGGGAGTTTCCTAAGTTCAGCTACCTGCTTGCAGCGCACCCTAGTGGAAAAAAAGGGGAATTGCACGGAATACCGCTAAATTCTCCAAAATTCACCCGTTGCCAATTTAAAGCGTGGCGGCGGCATCTTCAGCCACAACAGACGTCTCTGATGTACCAGAGGACTCGAACCCTCCACCCACCCTTGATGTAAACATGGAGCTCGGTTCCCCAAACCTGCTCCTTCGGGCTTCTCCCCACCCTTGTTTATGGCAAGTTGAAAACAGGCCTAGGAATGTTTTACAAGTTGACCCCAGCTCCGTTCGCTCTTTCCCCCCGGAGCTCTCCGGTTGCTTTGATACTGGCCGTGGCTCCCATGCCTCCTCCTCCTCCTCCTCCTCTGATTCGGCTGCTGGAGGGTCCGGGGGCCACCATACTCCTTCTCCATCACGAGATCAGTTTCTCCTCTGTCTTTCCACTATGTACTTACAACTTACAACAGCTCATCTGAAGACCATACGAAGGGACGTCACTGGGGGAAAAAAAAGACTCGACCATTTTTCACGCTTACAACCGTTGATCCCCCATGGTCACGCGGATCAACTCTCAGGTGCCTCGGGTCTCCTGGTTCTCTGGTCTGGGAAAAGCAGGCAAGACTCGCAGTTTGTGGAGTAATCGTCACTTTATTCCAGTAACTGGCTTTCATGCCTATGGCAGGACTAGAACTCCCAGCCTCCAGCAGCTGGCTTTTGTGCCCAAGATGGGACCGGAACTCACACTCTCCTGGTGATTGGCCCAGAATTATTGAATTGCTCACAGGCCTAAGGCAGGATTAGAACTCCCAGTCTCTACAAGTTGCCTTTTGTGCCTAAGGCAGGACTAGAACTCACCATTTCCTGGTGAATGACCCAACGTCTCCTGGTGATTGGCCCAAAGTCACCCAACCAGCTTTCGTGCCTA